GCTTCTTATAAAGATGAGGCTATACGAGATCAACTTGTTGTAGCGATTAGAGACAAAAGTTTATCTGAAAAACTACAAATGAATGCAGATCTAACCCTTAATTCTGCTGTCTCAAACGTTAAACAAGCCGAATCGGTTAAAATGCAACAATCATTGATGAGGTCCGGGTCTTCTGAACATGCACTAACTGCAGATAAAGTCACTTCAAGGACTTGGGGCACTAAATTTGCTCAGAAACCTCCAGTTGATTCCAAAGCGTCCAGTACCAATTACTATAATCAATGCCAGTGGTGTGGTAACGCTCAACATGAACGACCAAAATGTCCTGCCCGGAATATTTTCTGTCGAAACTGTAACAGGAAGGGCCATTTTGCTAAATGTTGCCAGTTCAAAAATGTCAAGGAAATAAATTCAAACCCTCTTCAAGATGAAGTTATTAAGAGTGACAAATTTGTGGGGTCTGTTAATCCTCAAAAGAATCCTAAAGCAAAATGGTCTGCTGAAGTTAAACTTAATGGAGTATGTATTCAAGCTAAGATAGACACTGGAGCTGACGTTTGTGTCTTGCCCCAATCACTCTATAAGTTGAAATTATTTATGTACCCACTAAATTCAAGTAACAAAGCTTTAATTGGGCCTGACGGATCTGTCCTTAATATCTTAGGCGTATTCGAGGGTACAATCCAGTACAAGAATCAATATTGTAAGTCTCAGTTTTATGTAATATCTGGTGCTGATAGAACCCTTTTGAGCAATGAAGTTAGTGAAAAATTGGGTCTAGTTAAAAGGATGTTTCGAGTCAACTCAACTGGCTCATTTGATCCTTTTACATCATACCCTAAACTTTTCAGCGGTCTTGGTGATACACAAGCTCATTATAATATAAAATTAAAGCCAAACGCTGAACCGTACTCTCTCAAAGTTCCCAGGCGTATTCCCCTACCCTATAAAGATGCTGTAAAAAAAGAACTAGATGCAATGTTGGATAAAGGTGTTATCGTGAGAGTAGACACTCCGACTGACTGGTGTTCACCTCTTGTCATTGTCCCTAAAAAGGACAATTCAATAAGACTTTGCGTAGATTTTACTAAACTTAATGAGAGTGTTAAACGAGAACTATATCCTGTGCCCTCTGTAGACTACACTCTGGGACAATTAGATGGTGCTAAGGTGTTCTCGAAACTAGATGCTAACTCGGGTTATTGGCAAATACCCATAACAGAAGAAGCTTCATATTTGACTACTTTCATCACACCTTTTGGAAGGTTCAGATTTTTACGACTTCCTTTCGGGATTTCCACTGGTTCAGAAGTATTCCAGCGTCAAATGTCTGAATCACTTGAAGGCCTTCAAGGTGTTGTTTGCCATTTCGATGACATAACTATATACGGGAAAGATATGGAAGAACATGGCAAAAATTTACATCGTGTTTTGTGTAGGCTCCAGGAAAAGGGCTGGACACTTAATAGATCAAAATGTGTGTTCCGGCATGACAGTATCAGTTTACTAGGCCACCTTGTAACTAAAAATGGTATTAAGCCAGATCCCTCTCGTGTTGAGGCTATCCAAAAACTCAAGACGCCAACTAATGTTAAAGAACTAAGGAGAATTCTAGGTGTTGTCAATTACGTAGCCAAGTTTATTCGTAATTTGTCGACCATAGTTCATCCACTACATGCTTTACTGCAAAGAAATACAGAATTTGTTTGGGGGCCTGATCAAGACCAAGCTTTGGAAAAGATTAAACTGTCATTGATGTCCGAACCGTGTCTCGCTTTATACAGCATTTCTAAAGAAACCTTCCTCTCAGCGGATTCCTCGTCATACGGTATTGGAGTCGCACTACTTCAGCTTCAAGAAGATGGAACTAAACGTCCGGTGGCCTATGCTTCAAGAAGTTTGTCATCAGCCGAACGTAATTGGGCTCAAATTGAAAAAGAAGCTCTAGCGATTGCTTGGGGGTGTGAACGGTTTGAACACCTCATTTTAGGGTTGCATTTGCATATTGAGACAGACCATAAGCCCTTGCTCTCCATATTCAAGATAAAAGACTTGGACAATATTACTCCCAGGCTTCAGAGAATACGACTCCGACTGATGAGATATACGTATGACATTACCTACACGCCCGGTAAACAGTTGATTTTGGCTGATGCACTGTCTCGAGACACAGAGAACTCTGAAGAGGAATGGGAACTTACAGAGGAAATCCTTGCTTATATACAAAACATTGACACTACTCTACCATCAGTTTCGGATGAAAGGTTGCGAGAAATAAATCAAGAAACTATGAAAGATGAAACTCTAAAACATGTGTCACAGTATTGTGTGAAAGGTTGGCCAGAAAAATCAAAGATTCCAGAGGATGTATTGCCCTATTGGTATCATAGAGAAGATATAAGTGAGCAAAATGGTATACTTCTCTTTGGAAGTCGTATTATAATACCAAATTCTCTAAGAGCTAATGTACTAAGAAGTATTCATGAAGGACATCAAGGCATAACAAAATGTAGATCTTTTGCAAAATTGACTGTGTGGTGGCCTCGTCTTTCTCAACAAATCAAAGAACTAGTAGAAAATTGCAAGACATGTGCAGAAAATCGCCCTACGAGAGCAGAGCCGCTGATACCAACCCCTTATCCGGATAGACCTTGGCAAATAGTGGGTGCCGATTTGCTGAAGTGCAAAGGTCACTGGTATCTCTTAATCTCAGACTATTATTCCAGGTTTATGGAGATTGCTAGACTAAATGACTTAAAAATGGGCACTATTGTGACATATACAAAGTCCATCTTCGCACGTCATGGTGTACCTGAGACAGTGAGAGCAGACTGTGGTTCTCAATTTGACTGCTGTCAATTCAAACAACTTGGTCGTGATTATGGATTTAAATTGATTACATCAAGCCCAAAATTTCCACAAAGCAACGGCTCCATAGAAGCGCAAGTAAAAAACTTTAAGTACCACTTAGAAAAAAGTGATGATCCCTACAAAATGCTACTTATGTTAAGAGCAACCCCTCTGGAAAATGGGAAAAGTCCAGCGGAATTACTTTTCGGGAGAAGGATCCGCACTTATGTTCCGATAATGTCTGATCAACTAATACCCTATCTGGTAGACACTGAAAAGTTAAGGGAAAAGGAAGAAGCAAGAATTGATCGTCAAAAGATTTATTTTGACAAAAGACATAGAGCCACAGAATTGCCTACTCTACCTGATGGAGCTCAAGTCCATATAAAGGACAGGAATCAAGAAGGAACTATATTAAACAAACATCCTGCACCTCGATCCTATATAATTCAAACGCAAGATGGTTGTTTGCGGAGGAACAGAAGATCACTGCAAAGATTTAGCACTACTATGCCCTCTGATCAACCAGCACTGCAGACCAGTCCCTCAGAAAACCTGAGAAGATCAGAACCATCGCAGACAAATCCTTTAGCGAATCTAAGAAGATCAACAAGACAATTCAAACCTACCCGGAGGTTCGATCTTTAAAGGGGAGATGTGTTGTTATTCATATGTGTTTGAAAACATATGGTATTAGAATATTATTTGTTTAGTTTTTGTTGGTAAACATTCTGAATCTGTTTTTTTTGTAAAAGCTACCTAATAAAGTAGTTGTCTTATTAAAACTATATTTTAATTTAACTTGCGACAACACTACAGTTAGCTTTAAATGCATTGAGGAACCATGTTATGAGTTACATTGACCGCAATTCTTAAGTCCACAATTGTATCCATATTGTCCGTAAGCAGTTCAAAATCCATGATATATTTTATGTATAGTTGATAAGGGTGAAAACGATTTTTCCTACAGTCACCCGACCAAGTTGGCTTCCTTGCACTGTTTATAGCACAGAAAGCTGCTAATTGCTGAATTTACTTACTTTGTCGCATGGTTTATACTTGGTCGTACGATTTATACTTTGGTGGACACCAGAATTCAAACCAAACAACACAAAACAGTGTGGTTTTATTATGCACGTAATCCGTGTACACTTGGAAATAGCTTGGCAACACTTAAAGATAATAATACTATGATAACTGTACTAGAGTTATTGTACTATGGTAACCTGTACTTATGACTACAGTTGGTTGCTTGAATTATTATTGTTCCTTGAATCTTGTTAGTCCATCTTATATCTAAGTGGGAATCTGGAGGGATAAATATTCCAGTTAACTCGCTACCTGCGGAACCCTCGTGGCAGTTCAACTGTTTTTCAAGCCTACAAAACTGACCCTTATAATCCGCACTAATGATCGTGGCGGTTCAAGTATCTCGGGACGGTCATAAAACTCGTGGCGGTTCAATATTCCCCCTTTGTTCTATTATGGTAATAATAAAAGAAATATCAGCTTGCAGCGAGTGATATCTAGAAAAACACATAAACAAAATAAAGACGAAGATAATTTATTACCTTAGGATAAACTTTGCTGGTGTTGGCAGTTGTCAGTTCCGAAGTCCCTGGGCTCAGTAGAGAGCGTGTATTGACCTAACAAGCAATCCCCTCCAGACCAATACCCCTTGTTTATTGCCCCTACTTCAAAATGCTTTGTTTGTCGTTGCTAAGCTGTTGATTTTGTACATTATTACACGCAAGATCTGTTTACAGAGTTGACTTCTTGTGCTTTTAAATTTGTCTATTTTGCACATAAAAATGGAGAACATATTCCCAATAAAGCATACTCGAACCTCAAACGTAAGAATTTATTTATCTGAAATGAAACAATATCACAGACTGAGCGGTAGATAAAACCTAATACGATAGCCGTAGATGAAACCATAATAGAAAGAACATCTGTACTAGACATCTGAGAAATAGCCTATAAAAATACATTAAGAGTATATGTTTTAAAGCGAAATAGTTATAAAATAATTTCTTAAATTTACATTTAAGTTTTATAAATTATAGCCTTAACCCCATATCATCAAGTTGGCAGCGTTCAACCAACTGCTTACAAATCGTAGGTAATATAGATTAGTTAGTATTGATCACCTCTGAAAGGCGATGGTGTAGAGGCGAGCCAATCTAGGCTCGAAGAGGTCACGGGCGAGTGTCCAGTCCGTGGAGTTGGTGTGGAGGACAGTGACGAGCCAGTAGGCCGGGTCTGGGGCCGGCTGGAGCCACGGGGGCGGAGGCCAGGGAGGCAGTGACGGAGTAGCGCTGGGGGCCGGACCCACTGTAGGCGTTGGAATAATCGGACACTCCGAACCTGGGAAAGATTCATTGACGTTGATCTTGAATAAATTACACTTGGAGGTACCTTTACATGCTATCATGTGATTATCACTCTAAACCCTCAAAAAATTAACCTACTTACGTATTACTTCTAAAAGTAAATTGGTTGCTGGGGACGTATCTTTATGGCTGAATAAGAACTCTAACATTCAAGATAGCGATGCTGGAAAAAGCAGTGTCCTTAAATTGACTCAAGATGGACTGAACGTTGTTACATATTGTTAACCCTCCAACTGACAGCGTTGTGGCTAGATAAAAACTTCAACATTCAAGATACCGATGCAGGAAAACCCTGTGTCCTTAAATTGACTCAAGATATACTGAAAGTTGTTACATATTGTTAACCCTCCAACTGACAGGGTTGTGGCTAGATAAAAACTTCAACATTCAAGATACCGATGCAGGAAAACCCTGTGTCCTTAAATTGACTCAAGATAGACTGAAAGTTGTTACATATTGTTAACCCTCCAACTGACAGCGTTGTGGCTAGATAAAAACTTCAACATTCAAGATACCGATGCAGGAAAACCCTGTGTCCTTAAATTGACTCAAGATAGACTGAAAGTTGTTACATATTGTTAACCCTCCAACTGACAGCGTTGTGGCTAGATAAAAACTTCAACATTCAAGATACCGATGCAGGAAAACCCTGTGTCCTTAAATTGACTCAAGATAGACTGAAAGTTGTTACATATTGTTAACCCTCCAACTGACAGCGTTGTGGCTAGATAAAAACTTCAACATTCAAGATACCGACACAGGAAAAACCAGTGTCCTTAAATTGACTCAAGATGGACTGAAAGTTGTTACATATTGTTAACCCTCCAACTGACAGCGTTGTGGCTGAATAAGAACTCCAAAATTCAAGATACCGATGCAGGAAAAACCAGTGTCCTTAAATTGACTCAAGATGGACTGAAAGTTGTTACATATTGTTAACCCTCCAACTGACAGCGCGGTAGGTGGTTTCTGTAGTGGCACCGACATAATAGTCGTGTTTTGCTAGGTATTGGTTAACTCCAAATAAATGGTAAAAAATAATTATAAAGTTGAATAATATTTGTAACAGTTGAAAGATAAGATTCTGAACTTAAATTTTGCTACATGTATATAAAACAAAGGATCATTGTAATTAAACACTAAAATGAACGAAAACTTCGACCGGTCAGTTGCACCGTAAATCCGTCACAAAACTTGTCAAGAGTTTCTTAATATACATACCCTTAGAATTAGATATTTTTTGCATTATCATCCAGGGTGAGAAGTAAACAACATAATCAGTTTTCTAATCCTAAATAAGGTCGTAGAAGTTATAACTAAATTATTCACCTTCCGTTTATTAGCCGGCAGTCTTAAGACTATTCCAGAATATGATTCCAGTTGTACACTCATGATTAAATGGCGAACACCTGCCCTCAAGGTTACGCTGCTACCGTACCTGGACACGTAGGTGAGAAAGTGGGACTGGGCAGAACAGTGGCCAGCACTGTGGTGGTCCAGACCACCGTCGTGGTGTAGGGGTTGACCGTGGGGGTGTCCTGAGGGACGGCTCCATCTCCAGACCCGGTCCACAGGAAGTCCTCCAGGCGGTAGTTACGGCGAGGCTCGTCCTCGGAGTAAAGCACTGAAAAATCACGCCACTAATTAATCATCGTGCACGAATCCTACTGAAGGTTGCAAACAAAATATGTCAGCATTCATATTAGTTTGGTGATTATTATTCACAACCGTTTGCCAGACGATATCCAACTTATGTACTGTTTAAGCTCCTGCGATCGTAGTGGGAGTTGTCAGTGATGGCAAGTGTTTAAGGTTGACAAATACGTTTGCTTAAAATATACGCTGGTTTAATATCGAGTTAGTATGTAGTTGTTTGTGCCATATACCCAATCAATTAATCAGACTTATTTATAAAACACCCGCAAATTAATATGTCACCCTTCGAAGAATTGAGTTTTGGCATTCTTTAAACTTTATTGACCTCAACATATCGTTAATAATTTATTTTTCTTTAGTTCTTGATATTTTAGGTATCTGACGATATAATTTTCTTTATAGTCTAAAAAAAGCTACAAGATCTGAAAATATATTGTTTTTATCGCATATTTGCAAGACCATGCATGGTTGTCCTATTGGGCTAGTACGCATAATAAATCACTGGCAGAAGTCAACGTGTGAGTAATTATAAAATTGTTATTTAATAAGAGCAGCAATCTAGAAGACTTGTTCTCTCTTATCCATATCCATATCAAGAACCATGTTAAATATGTTAAGAAAGTCTCCAAGATTAAACTGTGTCATAAAACAAATACAGTTTACAGTATACAGTATAGCAGCCAATTTATCCCTGAGTCACGACTTGCAGAAGTGAGCCTTTGTTTAGTAGTGCAACAGAGTTGGCCCGATGAGGTTGAAAAATTTATTGACTATGCCAATGTCTGTATATGTATGGATCAAAGGCAATAAAGATTCTTGATTCTTGATTCTTGAACATATCTTAAGATGATCACTTAGCTTCTACCACAAATCAACCTAGCCGAGCCGGGTCATTCTTTTGACATAAGTCAATACACAGTCCACAGGAGGTTGGCACGGCAATCACAGATATTGATAACCCACAGTCTCAGTACAGGGTGGTACACACGCACCGAGTCCCCCTCCGTGCTGTGCGTCCCGCACTCTGACAGTCGGTTGATAGCTTAAACTTGTGATTTTGTGTGACTCATAACGATTGAGTTTTATTATCTGGCAATTTTAAGTTTACTAGGTTTGTTTGATAGTTATTAACAGGTTTAAAATAAAGTCAGGAATTTGGTTACAAACTCAAACTTTTAGTGGAAATAAATTGGGAGACCTAAGAAAAACAGGTTTTTTTTTAGAAAATGCGAGACATGTGTCATAGATGATGCAATGGATGGACATACTTTAAATATATTATTTAATGTTAAAACGTTCTTTTAGATGGAATATACCTACCTAATATTTAAATGCAATCAACGGTATCAGCACTCTGAAACATGCTTTCTCCCATGAGCTTGCCGACAACCTTTATCATGGACATGGGAGTAACTATGGTATTTTATAGGGAAAATGACAAAAGTTGGAATAACTTTTGAACCGTAATTGTTACAGCGATATGATATTTTGTTTAGAATTACAGGGGACATTTCACATTAATTTTAATCAAAAACGTAGTTTTTCCTAAAAGAAAGAGTTTTTCCGGTTTTATGGGAAACGACTTGTTATAATAACTTTTGAACCGTAACAGCCTTATTTATATCATTGTTTTAATGGGAAAATAGCATAAATTACAATAGCCTTTGAACCGTGATATTTACGGAAGTGGAATTTCTACAATTTTGTTCAGAATTTAAAGGACTTAACATATTATAACGTATCTTGCCAAAAATGTTATCTTGACAGATAATTTGCAGTGGTCTATTACGGACTGTCACCCATTTGCTTTTAAGTTAGATTTTTGCAAATAACACTGTACTTCGACTTAAACAAATTTGGCACAAAGAATAACTACCATTTAAATAGTTGCTGTCATGACGATAAGTTCATTTTCATTTTTTAACAGCAACACCAAGTCAAATTTCTCAAAATTATGCTGGAGGTTAATTTTTTGGCATAGAAGTATGCTATAATGACCAAAGTGTAAAAGGAAAAGTCAAACTTGCACAGCTCAAGGGTAGATCTCCCTTTGAACATCAAATACAAACATATAGGTCTAATAATAACATTGCACCATCTATCAATCCATCAGTAAATGTGCTGAAGAAAATATCTTTGGCAATACCTTCATGTATTACTCAAGGCAAAAGAAAGTGAGATAAAAAGCGGTTTTGTAAACAATTAAAAATAATAAAAACAAATTAGTATACACTTTGAAGCTATACACAGTGCAAAATTGAAGTTAGTGAGTTTTTAGCTTTACCAATCTAGAGAAAGAAGAGATCTTATTACTAAACTTGTAAACAGAGGCACAATCAAACTGTTTTTTTTTTCTTCCGGAAAAGGAGAGATCATACCCAAGAAAAGGAGTAAAGCGCTGAAGGCTGAAGTCCCCATCAAAAGTTCTTCCCTGTGAAGTTTGCGGTGCAATCTATAGCAGTAAAGAGTTACACAAACATGTCCCCAAATGTAGGAAAAAGCACAATGTTACAAACATGAAGAGCAGGGATAGATCTCTGGCACACAGAAGTGAGCTAATGTATTCAGCTTCAGGCACCCAAAGTAAGATGAAAGACATTTTAACCGCTATGAAAAAGGATTCTACAACCCAATTCATCCTAAAAGACACCTCTACTCTTAAGATGGGGAAAACAGTAGTACTCCAAGTATGATCATATGAAGAAAAAACATAGAATATTCTTAACAGTTTACGAGAAGTCGGCAGGTTGATGGTAGAAGATTTTGACAGTAGTATGAACCTTTGCAAAGGTGACATATATAAATTGATTGAACAAGGTGTATACAATATTGCAGAGTATTGTGAGAAAACAGGATTATTAAAAACCCCTCTTTGGCCAGACGAAATGGTCAGTCTATCAGGAAACATTCAGTAGTGTGCAAATGAATCTGTCTTGAAGAAGGTTTTGAGTTTAAAACTAATAACATTAGTTTCTTCTTCCTCATGGACCTAAATTGGAATACTCATATTCAGAACACTAATCAGTGGTTTCCGTGAAAACGGGCCATAAAAAGATAAAAACTAACATCGACGGGATAGGGAAGTCCGATTCCCCTTATCCAAAAACGGTCTGAAGTTTGCCTTTCTATTCAATAATTTGTTTTAGTAAAGAGAAGAATGTACAATTTGAGAAAACGCTCTTAACAAAATGCCACTTACAAATGGAAGTGTATTCAATCCACTGTGAAAAAGTTTAAAGAAAAAAAAATAAACTTAACAAGTGACTACATTAGGCTCACAAAAATGGTTAAAAAATCTCCTATAATCCAGACGAAAGAAGTAGAAATTGGCATCCCGCAAGATTATGGTGAGAGGTAATTACAGCATGCGGCCTGGACGAAAATCTAGGGACCCTAAAGTTACTAATATCAAGGCTATTAAGTATGCTAATAGAGAAATGGAGATTAATTGAAATCTGACGAAACTTAATGATTTTGTAGTATTAACAACCACAAGGGCTAATTTTATAAGTATATCTTTGTAATTATTATATATATATTGTACTTTTTTATAACTACACACGGTGTTATACAATCTCAAGAAAGATTTTCTAATTACCTAGATAAATATTTAATGATTTTTAAAATTTAGTATTAATGACTGAACATTTGTATTACCAATCTAAAGCCGGGTTTTCCTAGGCGCGGAAGTGGAGAGCGGAGAGAGGAACGCGGAGAGCGGACTCCACTTGTCTTAGGTAATTTAATGTTTCTGTTTTCCTAGAAGCGGAGAGGAACACCATGATAGTCCCTATTCCGCTCTCTGCGTTCCTCTCTCCGCTCTACGCTTCAGCGCCTAGGAAAACCCAGCTTTAGGCCTGATATTCTAGGTTCCTCATTATGATGATTTTTATATTTTAGATTATAATATTAATTATAATCTAAAATATGAACATAGGTAGTTAACGTTATAAAGGCAACTAGAGATATTCTTGTAAAAAAATAAGTTTTTTCTACCTCCTGAAAAGTAGTGATTTTGGACATGCAATAATTCTCCTTTCAAGATAGGAAGTAGAAGTCAAATGTCAGTTGTTTCTATTTTCAGATTATTTAACTTTGTTTACTACACACTAAATGTGTTCATTGTCAGAGAAGAAACTCACAACTCATTTCCAACCGGTTTCCTTACTACTTAATTTCCAAATACAACGGTAGGCCTATGCATTTTCTTAATTTATTCTGTTGGGGCTTTATTGCAAATATATCAATTTGAGTAACATTTAAATAAATAAATATATATATATATATATATATATTTATGTATAATAGAGTTTGGCATTGTCTAACCACAAAATTAAATTTGTACCTTAGGCATACATATTAACAAACGTTTGGTATTTTGTTTAACGAAACAAACTTATTTATATTTTACATAAATGTTTTGTGGTTTTTCAGGATGCCATGCCGTTAACAAATGTGAAAATATTTGGTTAAGAAAATATCACCCGCATAAGAAGAGAAAGGCATTAGACTGACCCAGGAAAATATGCAGCTGCTTTGGAAAAAGATAAGCTGAGAAAAAAAAATGAGTTGACAAATATTCAAAGAATTAGCATCCAACCAGGAAATAAAACAATTCAAACGTAGATTTGTACAGCGTGTTATGGGTTACTACTCTAACAAAAAGTCTTTACTACATCAATGTAGTCAGGACCCTGTGAAGGCTCGCCATTCAGCACTAGGCAATCTTTAGGCAAAGCTGTTAAAAGAGCATGCAGAAGTCCTCCCAATTCGCACGGAAGAAAGGGTGTGATATCAACCGTGGATGATACGGTATTAAAGCTTCAGATCCCCAAAACACGCCATGGCCTAAGTCTTAGTTGAAATAGTGGTGGCTTTTTTTTAACAGTGATGATGTTTCTTGGCAAACCCCCAGTAAGAAAGACAGGATCACTCGGAATGAAAAGGATAAAAAAGGAAAAGAAAAAT